TAAGAAAGGTATAGTACTACTTTTATTCTTAGTTCCTTTAAAGGTAAAAGTAGTATTAATACGTTGCTTCTTATTAATAGTAGTATCTTAATATCGTTAAGCGACTTATATAAGCTTTTCTTATTAATAAGTATAAATAGGTATTAAATAAAAGTTAATTTAGTCTTAAAGTTATAGCTCTAGCTTAGTAAAAAATATAAGAGCACGCGCCTTTTTAATAAGCGTTCGAAATACCTTTTTAAGGAGATAAGGTATAAGCTAAACTTTAAGAGGAACTAGCCTTCTTATTAGCGAGCCTCCTTTAATTATATCGCTAATAGTATCTCCTTATTTATAGTATTCTTAATTAAGATAAGTATTTATTCTTTAAAGTATACTTAATTTATACTATATTTAGTTTAGTTAATTAGCGTTTATTCTTTAAGGTATTAGCGCTATCTTACTTTATAATCGCTATATATATAATCTACTATATAAAGGATCTTTATTTTATTATAACGAAAACGTTTTAGCACTACCTTTATAGTATCCTTTAAATCGTAAGTCTAGTCTAGATATTTTTATATATTAGTAGGTTAAGATAATTAAGCGATGTTTTTAATCTTAACCTTACTACTACGACTACCGTCCGATTTAAGGGAGTAAGACTATCGATGCTTTCCTAAATAAATAGTAATAGTACTAGCGCGTTTAGTAATTTCCGCTTTTAATTATATAACGCGGTCTTATAAGTATTTCGTTTCCTCTAGCTCCTTAATACGCGCTTATAGAGCTATAAGCTTTTTATTATAAGTTAATAGTCTTACGCTTATAAGTAGCGATATCTTTAATATAGTTAGAATATTATAATTAATAAGGGTCTATTTTAAGGATATATCTTTTAGTTCTTTATCTCTTAAGTAGATACTTAAGATATATAACGAAGAGGCCTTAACTAGTTAATTATTATATCGCGCTATAGGAGCGTTACGTAGTCTTCTTTAAGTAGCTATCTTTATTAAGTAACTAAAAAAAGAAGCTTTAGAAATTATAAGGGAATATATATTATAGTATAATTAGTTAGATAGTAGATATAGCTAGAGGTACTACGCTATATATATTATATTTTCCTTGTTATAAGACTAAAGCTTATAAGAAGAGGAATTTCTCCTTTTTAGTTAAGGTAGCGAGTAGTTTATAACTTATAAGTAAGGTAAGCACGATTCCCTATTAATACCCTACTAATACCTTAGTATAATATACCTAAGTACTTTATTAGCCTATACTTCTTAGTAGCGCTCTTATAGCCTATAAGTAAATATAACTTTATATCTTTATATATAGTCTTAACTAAGCTATTAACCCTTTAGCTAAAGTTACGATAGCGGCTAATATAGTAATAAGCTTACTACTCTCGCTATAGTATATATTCCTTAGAAATATATCTTATAATATAGCCTTAGTATTATCTATACTTATAATTAAGCGCCTACTAAGCTAACTAAAAGCCTACCTTAGTTAAGGTATAGATAACGGCCTTTTAAGTAGTAAATATCCCTTTATAGCTATAGTCTTTAAGTTATATAAGTTATATACTTAAGATCTTATCTTTAGCTTCTTTTTATATAGCGACTTTACTAAGGAAGATATTAATAAGATCGTTAGCGCTATTAACGCTATTAGCTTTAGTATTATTACTATTATTATTATTATTAATACCGCTAAGCTCCTTTTAATATAACTTAATTTTTACGTTAATATTAGCGTTAATATAATAAATATAAAGTTATTATTATAATAAAGGGAAAACGTATAAGAGTATATTTTTAAGGGCTTTTTCCTTATTTATAATAGCTATAAAAGGCGCTAGGATCTTAACTTTAAGTCGAAGCTTATTAAGGCGTTTATAAAGCTACTAAAACCCTTTCTCTTTCTTTATATTAATAAGGCTAAAAGCAAAGTTAGCTATAGACTATTAATTAGTAACTTTATAAGCTTAAAGGAGATATATCTTAAACTAGTTTATTTTATATATATTATTAAGTCCTAAGACTTTTAGAAAGCGCTTTTATATCTACTTATACTAAGGGTATATCTAAGAGATAGCCTCGACCTTTTACTTATCGTTATCGTCGCTAAATTTAACTATATACTTAAGGCTACCGCGTTAAAGGTAATCGATAAAGGCCTAGGTTATAGTCTTACTACTAAGGGCCGCAGTATAAATCTTCTAGCGGTCGTTATATATATCTCGCTAGCGGAAAAAGCTCTCTTTAATAGAGTCCTTAATAATTAAGGCTATCTCGCAAGCTAAGAGGGCACAATACTTAGAAAGGCTTCTCTTAAGCTCTTACTATACTTAGGTTCGGCGGCGATAGACGTTATAAGCTAAAGGGTCGATTAATTGCTTATAGTTATATTAACTATTATTAACGTAAAAAGTCTACTTTTAGTAGGATCTCTTTATTATAAATATAATAATCTTAATAAGGTAGTTAAGCTTTTATAAGGAAGCTTTATAAAGGCCGTTACTTAATAAAGCTCGCTAGAGGCTATAATTATAAATAAATATAATATATATAGGTAAGACCTACCCGTTAATCTTACGCTTATATAAGCTAGAGCTCTTAATAATAGCGGCGCTATAACTACGATAGAAGCTCTAGAGGAAGTTATAGAGCTCGTTAAAGGAGTTAAAGGTTAGCGAGGGCGGTAGAGGAGGAATTAGTAGCCTAACGAGCTCTTTAGTAGGCTCTTTAGCAGGCTCGTTAAGGATAAATCGTAGGTCTATCACGAATAGCTTTACTTTACGATATAGGTAGGAAGGGCAGATTTCTCCCTTAGCGGGGCTTTACGCTACGCTTAGCGCGGCTCCCTCCTTTACTACGTTAGTGCAGCTAAATTAGGTAGCGGGGCCTAAGCGGGCAGGGTATACGTAGAAAAAGTAGATTGTCTATATAAATAAAGACTTTTATCTATATAAATAGTAATACTTTAACTAGATTACTAACGGTTATAGAGACGAGTTATAAGGGAACGGGTTAGGCGAGGAAACTTAAGGTATTACTCCTAGACCCTCCCTTCTACTACTACCTAGTAGGGGCAGTAATACTACTTAACGCTAGCTTACTCTAGCTATAGTAAAGACGATTTTCCTTATTATAAAGGGGTTATAGCCCTTATAGCTTAGTACTACTAAGTAGCTAGAAGCTAGGGTATTACTAATCGCCTAAGACGAGGACTTACTATACTATTATAAAGCTAGAATCGGCCGTAGGTACGTAACGGGAACCTAGGCACCTATAATAGGCGAAAGGGCCTAGGAGCGATACCCCGCGGTTTTTATGCCTAACCTTCTCCCCCGAACTTCTCTTATACGACAGCTAGTAATTTAATATATTAAAAGGCTCGTACTATACTATATATATATACCGGGGTTCATGCAGAAAGACTAGCATCTATTATAGTAGTGGCTATAGTTCGATGTAGGCAAACATCCGCTAATATATAGGGAGAGGATATAACGGGGCTACGATCTGCAGCTGCAATGCCGTCTAGGATAACTCACACCCACCCGGGACAGTCAGAAGCACCCACTTGCAGCAACGCACATCCACCTTGCGGTCACCACCTCGCATTGAGAACCAACTATAGTATTAGGAGCAACACGGAACTATAGGTGACTATATACATGTACCTAAAAGTAGAGCTGCTAAAATGCATCTCGAAGCGGACGCCGTCTAGCAATGTAGATTCTGGCTGCTGGTCACTTTATTACCAACGACTCCGAGACCCCGCGTCGCCCAGCTTCCCTTCCTTCCTCCTCCTCTCTCCTGTTGTACTTCATAGTACCTCGATACCATTATATCTACATTGCCTCCCCCACTCTTCCCCTCTGCGTACACCGATACTACCATCAGGTCTCGATCCGGCAGCCGCAGGAGTGGCGCCGTCAAATCCGCTGAATGCGTTGCTACCTGCTCTGCCTAAAGGTCACATCGCATCTAGAGCATGCTCTAGATCGGCCAACCTGTCTCGTGCGTCGTTGGCGGTAACATTTTCACCTCGTCGCTGTGGCTTACCTATTGGGCTCGTAACAACCTTGGTGTCATGATCTTCCTCGGCGAACTCTGGCGCATCGCTCCATGTCTGGCCGTGACTGGCCGGCTCGTCACTCTGCCCTCGCTCAGTTCTGCCAACATATATATGCACCCCATGACGTCGTGTCAGGTGTTTAATCACCTTCGCGTCGCGTATGGCAGTGGGTCGTTGCGGCATGTAGGATTAGATAGGTACTGGTGCCATAGCCCCAAGAATGCGAGTTCAATGGTCAGAAAATATGAGCACTTTCAGAAGCTCATGATTATTGCAGTATTGGCTATCGAGTTGAATGCCTATCCAAGCCTCTCTGGTACGCAGGCAAAGCCCACCCTGTTATCCACTTTGATTCAAGCACCTCTTTTATATCCGGTCGCTCACTTGGCCTCCATGCAAGCATCCACTTCAGGAGCTCAAGCAGCGCATCCCGCTCGCCTTGAGCGATGGTTTCTATTTTTCTGGACTGTCGTGGGTTTTGCACCCACTGCTCGAACCGTCGATTCCACGACCAGATATCAGACGCATTACTCAGAGGCCGGCCTGCTTCGTCGTACCACTTGGGCCGCTTCTGCCATTTTCCCCACCACTCGGATGGCATGGGACCTTGCAGTTCTACCTGCTGCGCTACAATCTCGTCCTGTGGAGCGAGGAACCCGTCGATGAGGGACCTATGGGCGAGAAGCTCGAAAATAACACAGCCTAGACTCCAAATATCAGAGGAAAAGGTGAGAGGCGTTGTCGGTTCAAAGAATGCCTCGGGTGGACGGAGTACGAGGGGTGTATATGACTCGAATCGAGACCTGTCGCTTGGGCGAAAAGCAACTCCAAAGTCGCTCAGCGTTAAATTGGCCTCGCCTGGGGTGACATCGTTGCTTGGTAAGCCCAACCATACTGGAAGTACCGCGTGAGAAGGAACTCCGGGGTTAGTTGCTGCTGCCCCGGTGTCGAGACAAACCACCGGCTCTTGCTCTGGCTTTCCATAACGTTCGTACAGCTGCTCTATGGAAAACGCATTGAGGGATGAGGGCAGCTGTAAAAGAATATTGCCGAGATGAAGATCTTGAGCAAATAAGGTCAGCTGAGTTGCTGTCGTGTGAGGTAAAGGGATGCTCACCTCCATGGGCATACCCTGTAGCATGGACGAGGGACACGGCAATGGCTAGCTGCCCAGCAAGAGATCTGGCAACGTCAAGCTGAAACAAGGAGCTACCGGATGCCTCCTTCGCGTCTCGCAAGCTACATCGTGCCGGAAGGGTCACGAGGCATGTATGAGTGCCATTGGGCCCGCGAACTTGGAATCGATCAAGAACCACGGGAAGTAGTGACGACTTGTCTTGCCCGGTGCTGCAGCTGCTTGTGCTCTGTGTGATCTGAGAGAGAATATCAACCTCATTGCGATCTGCCTTTGCTGTGCTGAGTTTGATGGCGACATATTTTGCCGTCTTCTCGTCGACAGCGAGCCAGGCAGTGGAGAATGCGCCGTGCCCGAGCTTGTACACTATGCCATAGCGTTTGTCAAGTCGATGGTTGATGTGAACTAGATGATAGCCGCCCTTTCGATAGTCGCTGAGATGCTCTACCCCATGGATATACTCGTACTCGACCGGTGGTGCTGACATGGTTGTGTAATGCGACAGGACGAAGGTGGATTCTTTGCGCGGTTTACGGGTCGAGTTCAACGGGGAAATGCCAATGATTGTCGCGCGCGACGAGAAATTCCGACGCGATAATCGAAAACTCATTTGCAATGGATTCAAGTCTGTTCTTTCGTTGAATGGGACCTGGGTTTAAAATGTTGAGGCTCGTGCCAGGTGCATGTATTTGATGATTGAAGTAGGTAGGGTGTGTTGTGGAGAGAGTCCTGATGAACCACCCGTGGCCATTTTTGCGTGGCGCAGAAGGAAGGGCGGCATGGGTTACCTGCCAGGTCACGTGAGGCCTTTAGTTGAGATTTCTGCGGGCCCAAAAGGGGCACATTCCTAGCCGGAAGGGGGCATCACAAACATCGCTCTTACACCCACGCAACCGTGCCTATAGCTCCAATTTGGCCTCTTCTGTGTGCCCACTAATATCGTTGCCACCCTCCTCATTCGGACGAGCCGCAGAACCGCTGTTCTGACACGTGGGTACGAACGACCAGGCGCTAAAGTAAGACATGGCTAATCGTTTCGATTGGGTGCGAGGTGTCCCGACCCACATGGGCACCGTTCTTGTGTATATAACTGGGACCTTCGTCCCCTTCTTGACTTGGGCAGTGGTCAAGGCCAATAGGCTCTCTATAACCGTCATATGCATGGCATCTCTCATTTCCTTTTGACAACCACCTGGTATTGCGTAAGAGGTCATATCGGGTATTTAATAAGTAAGAGAGTTCCGTATCTTCAATATCCTTACTTGTTGAAGAAAAGATTGTTTTCATCATGTCGTCCATCAACATTGTCAAGTACTATTTCCAAGCTACCCAAGTCCCCAGAAGCGAAGTTCGGATGAGGCAACTCATTGCATTGGCGTATCAGACTGCACGCGACAAACAGCTCTACCCAAAGGCTGTAATTGTTCGGTATGCTCCCATGCCGAAATGAAGGACTGGGACAGTTCCTGGTCCAAAGCTCGTCCCACAGTGACTGACTGACAACAGGAGCGAAGTTCACGCAACAACGACCATCAACGGGAGACATCAGAAAGATCCCAAGGGCGACCACGTCACATTCAGCTACAAGACGCAGGATCACTTGGGTCGCGAGACTCATGTCGCCTTTCATGGCTATGTCAAGGACCCCGGTACGTTGGAGTTCAAGGAGGCGACCCATGCAGCTGAGAAGGCCGACTCAACCGTAAAGGGGAATAAGAAGCCGGCTTGGCCACAAGACGAAGACCTCTGGGAGGCGCCAGATGTAGGTTATGGACATATGCCTTGAAGTCACTGTGCTTTCTAAGGTATCTTTTCTTAAATACACATCTACCCACCCAGACCGTGCAGTGTTGCGAATAATATAAACAATACGTATATTGGCAATATGAGATCCTCGAAGTAATATTATATTGTCATGCGGCACATATTGTATGGCAATTGATATGCACGCCGAACCACTTTACTACGGACGCCGTCTTACGGACGCCGTGTGGCTGACCGTCCAAATCGGGCAAGTGTCTATTAGTCTCCAGCCACACCAATTTTGAGTCCATCCTTCTCCGGCACTGTGAGCCGCCCTCTATTTCTTTCCTACGTGGGAGGCGATCTGAAGAGCACGACGGAGGCTAAATCGAATTGGATTGGTTCAAGTTCGCTTCTAAACAGAACGCCGATATTTTGTCACAAACGCTCATTCTTCTCCCGTGTATACTATGGCTGCACATGGATGCAATCCTTGCGGTTCTCTTTATCACCTAAACCCGACGGAGCCGGATTCGCTGGAGCGGCAGGCTGTTTACGGGAGCTTCGCCGTCTGCGCTTCAGCCGAGCCTCCTGCTCCTCCTCATTCGATATAGTCTCCCATTCTGACCGCTGCCTCCGTAGGCTAGGTCGCCTCCTGCAGCCGGATTGTCTCACGCCGGTTTGCTTGCCCGACCCAAGTGCAGCTGACTTGCGCGCGGGCATACACCGGGTGATCGTCTTTAACGTCGTCGCTAATGTATCCTTGGAAGATCGGGATGGCGTACTCGTCGGGCCGTCGAAGCTTTTAGATCCAGCCGTCATAGTCGGAATCCTGCCTATCGAGAGAAATGTGAGACTCATCTTTAGCCTGGCCTTTCCAACGCACTAAGTAAATCATCGATATATAGTCATATAGATATAAGTCTCGTAGAACATGGCCGCGGTAGGCGTACGCGTCTAGGTATAAAAGGGTTCGCCCTCCTTGCCTTAGAGGGATTGTCTCCGGGGGCCGTTCTGCGTCCGTCAGCTCGCCGGCCCAGTGGCGGAGATGTGACCATAGCCGAAAGATTGTCCAGTAGAGGGCCGTTAAGTTTAGGAAGGACCAATGCGGCACGTTGGTAAAGTCGGTGTCGTATCCAAGGAGGTAGTAATAGACCTCTATAGCCGAGAGTTGTCGCTCGGAGAAGATCCGATTTGCCGTTCTTATTAGGAACTGACGGCTCTCGTTTAAAACTATCTGCTGCCTGTCGTCGGGCTGGGCGGGACCTGGCGTGCGACGCCTCGGACGACCGGCTTTACGAAGTTGGCGGGCAACCTCGGCGGCGAGAGCAATGCGTTTCTATATCGGCGTATCTAGTTTAGTAGCGTAGTTCGTGATATAGTATACTATAGCTAGACCCTTAGTTTTGGTTAAGATTATCGAGACGTCGTGATTATAGCGAAGGCCGACCGCTAATAACTTATTATAGCGATTAACGAGTAGATAGTTGCGCCGGATCTAAAGTAAGCCGTCCTCTATAAACCCCGTCTCGTCGACGATTTTCTAGGGTGCTTTAAAGCGGCAGGCCGTTCGTCTCTATAGACCTATACCCTATTCGACGATCCCCTTAGGAGAATACTTAAGGCAGGTGTATATATAGGAGTATACTTAGCAATAGTACGCGATAAAGTTAGATTCGTCTTTAAAGGCTATAGTAAGAGCCGAGGTGCTAGTTATAACCTCCTCTATAGGATAAATAGGCTTCCTCTCTTATCGCATAGCTTTCCCGGTATCTTTATTTAGATATTCGTAAAAGACGGAGTCTATATATCGGATCACTCGGGCACGGTATACTTCTTCCGCGGGGTTAGCTATATTATCTATTAGGTTCGGTAATCGTATATTGCCGTCTAGGTAAAGGAGTCCGTGTAAATAGAGGCTGCCTTATTCGTTCGTTTCTACTATTATATAGTAGTAGCTAACCTTCCCGAAGATAGACTCCTAGCCTATATTTATATACTTATTAAAGAATAATAATATTTCTAGATAAAAGAAAACGGCTAAGCTAGCTAGATCTATAGTACTAAAAGCGATTCTATTATATTTTCTATAAAGATCTACTAAAGCTCCTTAGTAGACTTATAATTATAGAGCCTATAAATAGTAAGTTTTATCTTAACTAGATTATTAATATTATAAGGATTAATAGTAATTTATAATATAGGTATACTAGCGCGGATATCTAGAGCTTATATCTTCCTTTATATAAGAAAATAGGACTTATTTAAGAGCGGCTATATATAACTAAAAATTAATAGCTCGCGAAGTAAGACTAATATATTAGGGTCTAATATAGTCCTTATCTCCTATATCTCTACCTTAGCCCTCTTTAGTTAGTCCTTAGTTAGGTTTATATATACCTATTTAAGTCTATAAAAGGAGTTTTTAGCAATATAGACTATATTAATATAGCGGTTAAAGGAGCGAAGAAGGGTATTAAATACTAGGAAATAAAAGATAGGGTATACGGTAATTCGGCTGCTATACTATTATAATATATATCTAGCCTAGTAACTAAGCGAATAATTTAGATAATAGTTAGTAGAGTCGCTTTATAGGTTAGGACTTAAGCTATACTTTAATTTTAAGCTGCCCCTTCCTTAAAGGAAAAGCTTTAAAAATGTTTAGAGAAAGAAGTCCTTATATAAGCTATCTATAAAATCTATACTATACTCTACTTAAATAAATAGCTGATCTCTTATAGTTTATACTTATATAACGTATAGTATAAGGCTACTATATAGATCCGGATTAGTATTAACGATATTACTTAAAAATAATAGTTTATTACTATCTATAAAAGCAGCTGGTCTATTAAGAGGAAATATACTAAACGTTAATATCTTATATATAGGGTTAACTTCCTAGCTAATAGTAGCTAAATCGCGGATAATAGTTATAGGCTTACTAAGCGAAGGTCGAGCTTATTTAGTAGATTAAGTTTAAGGATAGTCTATATTATAAGATTTAGCTACGAAAGTAAGATTAATAAAGTCTATAAGTTTATTAATACTTCTAACGCTATTTTTCTCTAGGCCTTAATTAGTATCTAAGACTATATAGTCTATTTATATCTTCTTAGTAGATAATAGTTCCTCTCTTTATATACGGTCTATAATAACGGTCGGAATACTAAAGCCGTCGGTATACTACTAGCTATCTATCTCCGCTTAGTTAATTATAATATCTTAGTAAAAAGGGTTATTCCTTTATAGCTATACTAAGGTAGCTACTACTTAAGATTTACGTACCTAAAGTAGGTGTTTAACGTCTATAGAGCTAGGCTTACCTAAGCCGCTCTAAGAGACGTAGATATTCTTAATAGCCTATAGTAAGAGATAAAGAAGAACTATAGCTATAAGGTCGTTTACTTTATTTAGGAAGATAGTAATATATCCTTTTATATACTTATAGTAGCTAATTCCTAAATAGGTTTTATTATTAACCGTAAACTTAGTAATATAGCTAAAAGGTATATATAGGGCAATAAGTTCCTCTTTAATAAGAGAGAGGTTATTAAGCTCTCTAAGGTACTAATACTTATAACTAATAGCTATATTATTAACCGAGCAAGCTTTAAGCAGCTGTCTACTATTAAAGCTAGCGCGATACTTATTATATATATTAACCCTAGCGCCCTTATATAGCGGAAGGCACGCCTTATACCCTTAGACGGTCCTAGTAGTCTATAGTAGGGAGGGCGATTAATAACCCCTCTACTATATAGTAGTAAGTTTACGAGGCGGCGTCTTTTAGTAGTAGAAAACGTAGTAAGAGATCGGTAACGTCCCCTTATCTATAAACGCTTAGTAGAATAACTTAAGAGCTCCTACCTAAAGGGCAGGTAGAACTTCTATTACGGGACACCCTACGGTCGATAATCTAGGTACCTATAACGACATCGGCCTCCCCTAGGGAAGTTACCCCTAACTCTATAAGGCTCCCCGCGGAAGAAGGAACCCGGAAGCCACTAGGCAAACTCCGGGAAATTACCTAGAAATCCTAGAAACGATAACCGAGCGGATTATATAGATATTTTATAGAGATTTCCCCTAGGGATATATTATATAGGGAATATACTACGATTTCCCGAGTAATAATAGTTTATTAAGGATTATACCGATATTTCCCTAAGAAGTTACTACGAGAATATAGCGGGGAAATTATAGAGAAATACCTATGCCTACCCGAGGAAAATACTAAGAAATGCCGCTAATACGCCGTACTACCGTCGCACGATTATAAGGTTAAGATATTACTCGGTTAAAGCCCCGAGTAAGGTCCTACGCTCGCTATAGTATATATAGAAGATAGAGAACCCGCTAGATCTTAGGCGGGTAGAGAAGAATATAGATAGTTATTACTACTCTTACTTTAACTCGTAAGACCGGTAGCTAGTCCGTATTTAACGCGCGTAATAACGTACGGTAGCTAGTCTATATAATACGTTTAATTACGTATAGTAGCTAGTCCGTTTAATTACCTATTAGACCCGCACCGGATCTAGGTAGACGGTAAGGTTAACGTACTAGCCCCGTACCAAGGGACTAGTATATAATAACTTCTTTATACTAGGACCTTATAGACGATACTTACTCCTTAGAGCGGAAATAAGTATTATAGAGTCTTATTATAGTTAAACAGTTTCTTATATTAGCCGGGGTCTTTATAGGTAGCTATTCTAGCTATAAATAGCTTTAAATATACCCTTTTTATATAGCTAGACTACTATTAGCGCGAGCAGCCTATCGATAGTATAGTCCGCCCTATATTCGACCCTAAGCCTAAACGAGGCTATAAGTTTACCCCCTTTTACGTTCCCGAGCGCGAGCTATAGCCCCGATAGCTACTACTAACGCTATTATTACTTTTCTAGTAATTCCTACCTAAATCCCTAGTTAAGGGCTAGGTCGGGTATATAAATAATAGTCTAAGGCTAGGCCTAGAGAGTTTAAAGTAGTAGTATTTTTAAGAGAATACCTAGATAGAGATATCTCTTAAAG